CCCGGCAGCGCCTGCGCGGCGGCCCCGCGGTTTTCTTGCCCGCTTCCCGGCGGCCGCGGCAGCTCCGCGCCCTGTGCCGGCCCCGGGGCTCGCTCGCTGCCTTATCGCCGTCGCGACCGCGGCTACTGCCGCCGGTGAAACTCTTCATGGCCCTCATAAAATGTCACCAGTACGTTCGGCGCCCGAAGATGCCAAAGTCCGTCGATTTGTACGCTGCAGCGCTCCTTGAACGGGCCTCGGTGGAAAGGGCCCTGCGCGGCGGCGAAGGGCGAGGATACACACACAGGAGGTGCGGGCAGGGTCGAGCCTCCCCGGCTGCTGCTGCTGTCCGGAGCGTGTCCCGCTGCAGTCACCGGCGGGCAAAGCCAGCCACAATGGGTCACGCAGCTCCGGGGTGATTTCTTCATAGTAAAGTCAGAGCCAATGACCCACTGTAAATGCTTCCGTATTTGACGGAACAGGCATGATAGTAGAATACTTGAAATTCCAAAGGTCAGTGTTCTTCTAGAGCAAATGAATCTGAAAGGCATAACAGAACAAGTTTTACCGGTGTATGTACCCGAATAGATTACTTTTCCCAGGGTGAAGATTTAACAGCAGGGTTGATTGCTCAGGTAATATTCCTATTGTTCTTTGACAACTTGTTTTGATAAACACGGTATTCTTTTTATTTTATGAGCCAGCAAGCAAATTTTGCTGATTTGATTTCTGTTAATGCTGCTGATATCGATTAGACTTTAATAATTAAAGGCAATTCACAAAGCTAGAGGAAATTTTATATCTTACCAGAGAAAATGAAAGTTCACTCCAGGCTGCTTTCGGTTCGAAAACTGCACTTTTGATAGCAATCTCCTTGTTTGATAAGACGTTTGGTAACAAATAAGGCCAAAAAAAATTATGCCGAAGACCTTGGTGTATGGCAAGTAAAACTACAGAAGACAGGCATTTAAGGAGAGGGAGGAATTCTGAGAAAAAACAGACATGTCTAAGGATCTTGGAGTTAAGGAAATAGAAGTTTTAATAAAATTGCTCTAGTTGACTTGTAATAAAATGTGCTACTTCTGTATGACAAAATGGATTTCACATGCTTCTGCTGAATTACTGTTTTTCAGAATTTATACAGAAGAGTGATTAAACATAGCTGAATTTCTAGGATTCTCTGCTTAAAATGACACCTGTTTCTGACAGTCCCATGTTCCAATCAGTGAGCAGTGAATCCTATGAAATGTGTACCTTTCAGAAAAGGTACATTTATATAAAAGTAATAATCTTAGTGCTTTCTTTGACAGTTGTTCAAAGAGGTCATAATTGGAAAATAAATGTCTTAAATGATCTTATATCTTTACTAGATGCTTTCAGATAGAGAACTGAAGCAGTTAAACAATGGATTATAATTATATTTTAAATCGATATTTTCATTTTTCTCATCAAGTGACTGTGTGGAGAGCTGACATTCACTTTACAGTAGGATGTCTTACAATTGTAAAATGTACTTTCGTGTATACTTACAGAAGTCACTGCAAGGTAGTTTAGCTTGAGCCGTTTGCCATGCTGTGTTTGTGTGAATGCCATGCTTAGCAAATAAGGCCACCCATGACAGCTTTTTCTATCAGTATTTCGGCATGCGTGACCTGTGTGCAATTGTACGTTCTCAGATGTGCAGTACCTGATCATTGGTCTTTCTGCAGGTTCGTTGGAGACTAGAAATGACTCACAGAAGCTTGGAGCCAGGAAAAAAAAGGTGATCAGAAACCTAAGTAGGAGTCAAGTTAAAACATGAGGTGCGTTGCACATTCTAGAAGTGATAATGTAAGAATGCCATTTTGGTATCTTTAAATGAGGTTCATACATAGAATTATGGAATTGCTCTAGGTGTGTTTTAACAAGGGAGAATGTCCTGAACTTTTCAAAAAAAATCCTTTTTCATATGGAAATAATAATTTGTGAATTATGTGACTCATATCATGGTTTCTCTTTTTGTTCTACAAGATGATTATACTTAGGAGTTTAGCATTTTCAACTCTCTGGTGGTTTTCTCTGCATCCCCACTGACATGGGTTCCTTGCTAGTTGTGTTGTCACTGAAAACAGAGATAAAAACTTACCGACACCAATGTGATGTAAATAAGCAGACTCTTCTTTATTAACGGCCGGGTGTGCAGGGGAGTCGTCTCACCAACAACGCACACCAAGCACCAAAATTATACATCTTATATAGAACTTACTCATACATATTCATTAAGTATTCATGCATAAGCATATAATTTCTTGGAAATCATCAACATACTCTATTTCCAATTATGCGCAGTGAAAGCTAGAAATGTCTAGAGATGGGTCTGGGGTGTAATACGAGTAGCTGGTCCATGAGTTGGTGGTCACGATCTTCCCCTGCTGGAATTGCCTTCTGCTTAAATTCACGGTTTCTTGGCAGGTACTTGCAAGTTGCTACAGTTGGTTTTCCTCAGTTCCCATTAATCCTAGACCTTGACAGCCACATGCCTTCTTCTAGTTCTATGTATGCCTCATAAATCAGTTTATAAAACAAATTGTGTTTGTTACCTAGGTTCTAAACACTCCTACTAGTTAATTTTGGCCTTTGTATGGGGCTATATGGGGATTTTAGAGTAGCATTCAGTTGCTGCTATAAAGTGCAATAAATGTGAACAAATAATTTCTACTAAAATACCTCTTAATACTGTACCCATATTAAAATCAAACATAACTTAATTTCAGTTGATAACAAAATCAGTAACAGTGTCAGCACTGAGGGAGAGCAGGTGTGCTTCCTGGGTTCTGGTGGGTGCCCAAGTTGTTTCCTTGTACTAAAGATAAGACCCAAGGCTTACTGCTGTTTTCTTTTTCTCCTCTGTAGCTCTCTGGTTTCTACTGGAGAGAGATTTTGCAGGGGGTGGGGCTGGGAGTCAAAGCAGAGTCCAGTAGGTTATGTATCTGGGGATCAGGAATAGATGTTGAGTGCACACAGTGAAACACATCTGCTCCATACTTAAGGTATAGCTTCTGGAAACTAATCTTGGAGATTTATTTTCTTTCTCACTTTTTTTTTTTTTTCTTTCCTGCTTCTCTAGAATATATTATTAATTTGGTGGCTGTTGGGTTGGTTGTTTGTTGTTTTTGGGTGTTTGGTTTTTTTTTTTAATCCCAGGAAGAGATTTGCTGTGAAGTGCCTTAATATTCAGTGATACTCATAACATTTTAAGTTTAAAGAAGGGTTAAACAATGAGAGATGAGAAATTGCTTCCCTGTTGGAGAAAGTTGTTTGTTGGCTAAGACCAAAACAGAACTGTGAGAACTTTAAAGAGATCTGAGCAGGCTGAGTGGATTGGCTAACAACATTGTGTTCTGATCAGTGCAGACGGCTGGAAGGAAAAACACTTCAGTTACACTTTTTTTTTTTTTTAACTTTTCTAAATTCAGTATGTGCACGTTGACATAATCTCTAAAATGTGGAAGATCACCTTTGTAAAATCAGCTCTTGTAAAAAAGTATGTTGATTTTTTTTTTTTCTTAATTTACATTAGCAGTAGAGCTTCATTTGGAATGACTTGTGCTTACTGATCACCTCATTAAGGAATTCCCACAGATGTAGAATTGGAAGGGTGGAGAGGGTGTGCAAGGGCTGGGGAAAAACTGAAGAGAAATTGCAGCAAAGTGGGATACAATAAAATAATATCCAACCGAAAGGATAGCAACTGAATTTGGAATTCAAAATACGTGAAAGGAAATACTTTTTGTTACGTGCTCTAATTATGGTTTGGAATGAATTTCTGTGGGAAGCTGCTGATGTTGAGACCGTTGCAGTACTGCGGAGCAGTGGGATACTGGCACCAAGACCGAGAACACTCGGAGCTGTGGTTAACCCTGTCACACCCTGTAGCGGATATGAGCGTTGACTGGCTAGTCGGAGAGGGAAAAGGGCTACTAAAATTTAAAAAAAAAAAAAGTATTTGGATGTATTTGGGAAAAGCTGGGTGCGTCACTACTCTCCGCTGTCGATGTGGTATGCGGTTGCTGTAGCTGCCGTGCATCATCGGTGTCGGGAAGAGGCCGGGGCTCTCGGGGCAGTGCCGGTGGGTGCACCGCTGGGCCGTCACACGCCGCCGCTGCCAAGCGCCTCTTGGCCTCGCAGCCCCTTTCCCGCGCATTTCGCGGCCCTGAGGGGGCAGAGCCGCAGCTGCC